CTCAAGCTGTGGAATTAAAACTGGGCGACGTTGCCTTTGTTTCTGCACCAAGTGCAACCCTGTAACAGGTTATAATGGTCCTAAATGGGCTTTATTAAGCAACTGCTATATCCTCTCCTGGCTGCTGACTCAGTAGTAGAGAAGCTCTTGAAATAATTTGACGGATGTATCCAGTCCACCAAAGACGAGGACATTGCAAATCTAGTAGGCCATCCCGTGTATTTTAAGACAGCCCTTTGCAGAAGGCATTTCTAGCTAAACGCAAACTCTATAGACATTATTTTCTGGTACAGTACAAACGGATACCCAGAAGTAGCAGACAGTTGGATAAATATCTTCAGAAGGGTGGAGGAGAGGGTTAACTTTCCGACCTTTGTAGCAGTGAGCAGATTTTACAAGGTGACTGGCGATCAGTGTACTGAACAAGGGGTTTTTTCTTTACATTACCCTATCTGAATATGGCTCAACGTAAGCAACAGGAAACCAGTTCTCCTTGGCAGTAGACATGAAAGTGAAGAACCACTTTTCTTCCTAAAGTTTTTGATACAAAATAGGTTCTATTTTCAAAAGTATGCTACATGTTCTCTCCCTGGTGCATTGTTTTCTTTGTAGATGCTAATAGTGTGTGCACACCTGTGTGTGCATATCTATAGGCACACATACACATATATATGTATGTGTATATATACACTGTATATTAGTATTTTGGAAAGTTAATAAATTAGCACATTTTCTCTATAGACAAAATATGGTTCAAACTTTTGGACCTATGTGCATGTAAATGCATTGCATTTGACTATACATGTTGCTAGGAAATATAGGCTATCTTTTGGGTAATCTTGTAATGGCCACATCTTTAAATGGTAGAGCTCCCTGTAGATCCTTGCCATAAGTAGGCCGTACGCTCAAGGAGTTGAAGAAGGTTCAGCCGACTGAATACACGTGAGTCAGGACAGACTTTCAACTGCTGATCTTTGGATTCGTGTCTCTGTTCTCTTGGTATGTAGTTGTGAGCTATTTAGGACCTCAGTGAATTCATA